ATTAGATCATTTGAAACTGTAAAGCTTAAAAGATATATTCAATGAGAACAGTGCTCATAATACTGTATTTGAAATTTCCTTTAAACTTTCCTTTACACTTCCACAAATTCTTCAGATGTTTAATGCCCCACTTGAGTTGGTTCTTGTAACTTATATGTAACCAATAAATTAGATATAATAAGGCTAACAGGAGATTTTTTTAAAAAAAATTTAATCAGAGCGAATCAAATTGTCAAAAAATTTAAATTAGATATAATTTGGATAGTTCTCATTTTTTTGCTTTATGGCACAAAATATTGGTCTATAAAAGACAAGCATAAAACTAAGTTAAATGTTGTTGCGATGATAAGTTAAATGTTGTTGAGATGAGAATGCCTGGGTGGATAAGTAGCTTGACTCTAAAAAAAAAAAGGAAAAACGATTGTATCCATAAAAAAGTTGGTGTAGCTCCAAGGGCAGACAAAATTAGAGAGATCGTCTTAGATGGTTTGGTCACATTAAACGTCGATCATCCGATGATCCGTTTAGGAGAGTAAATGTTTTAGATTTGACTTATGTTAAGAAAGGTAGAGATAGACCTAATATGTTTAAGATTTTGACTGATGTTAAGAAAGGCAAATGTAGATCTAAAAAAACTTCGGCATACTGTATAAAAAATGATCTTAATCTATTATAATTAAATGAAAATTTGACACTCATATGATGCAATGAAGAAAAAGAATTCATGTAGCCGACCCCATTTAGTGGGATAAAGGCTTTTTATTGTTGTTGTTGTATTAATGGTGGAATGATTGCCATCTTGCAGGAAAGCAATCAATCGAAAGAAAAGAGTAGGCTGACCTTGCAGGGCGAGAGACCGCAGTTCTTCAAGAGTTCCTGTGCCTAAGAAAATTCAATACGAGACGAAGCAGGAAGAATCTGGGAAGTCGAATAGAGCTTAGCGGTTAGAGGGTTGGTTAGATCCTAATCCCAAGCACTAGAGAAAAAGATGAAGATTAGCTGCTTCTTGGTTAAGTCGTTCCACTCTCAATAGAATTAGCAGATACTGACTCGATGGCAATACCCATCCTTTCGCTGTTTTTCATCTGATACATTTTTGAAGAGATACCGGGAGGGCTGATAAGGGAGAATCTCTTTCTGATTTGGGCATGTTGTAAAAAAAATGATCTTGATTTATTAAAATTAAATGAAGATGACACTCAATACGACACAATGGAGAAAATGGAGAAAAATGATTCATATACCTGACTCCACTTAGTAGGATAAATGCTTATTGTTGTTATTGTTGTTGTTCTTGTTTTATAATTTGTATAAGTGATACTACAGTTAGAATCCAATCAAAATAATCAAGAAATTTAATTAGGAATTAGAACCATGTAAAATCAACATGGAATTCGGTTTAATTCGTGCAAATTAGGTCTATGTGTTAGTTTTTTATTGAAATCAAGAGCACTAAAAAAATCAATATTAGCATGTGAACCAAAAAAAAAAAAAAACAGTAAACAAAATTATTATTAAAATAATAAAAAAGCAAGCTTTATGTCAAAGACAACTTCCTCTAGAAGAACAGAATCAGTACTCGTACATCACTCAAAACAATCGCATCCAACATGAACTCTCAAAATTAAAACTATAAAGAAAAAAATTATCAAATCGTAATTTTTTAATTACATACCTCAACAAAAATTTATAAACTCCTAATCTCTCAAAATGGTAGACATGGTTAGCGCTAGATCGGCCCATTTCAAATATAAATTTATTTCATAAAAAGTTTGATATTTTCCTAAAATTCTCATCCATAACCAGAATCATATAAGTGGAAGCCCATAACTTCACATAACTCCCAAGTTTTGCACAAAACATTTGAATAGATTACAAAACTCAAAGCCTTACAACCAGTGGTGGAACCAGAGGATGGTTGGGTGAGGCACTCGCCATCCCTAATTTTTCACTATACTCTTTAATATCATACAATACATTGAAAATTGTCTCTTAAACTTAAATACTTAGGAGATGGAAGTTTTAAACTTACACGCCACCCATTAACTTTTTTTATTTTGACACTACTCTCCTTAAGTTTTGGTTCAGTGGCCGATTAGATCATCCAATCTTTTCCCAACTATTTAAGTTGGCCTTATAAATTCCTAGTCCCCATTCAATTTGGTTGAATGTTTCATAAAGTGCTATTTATATCTTATTCAAATCTTATACATTAGTTATATGCCTTCTCATTGTTAATCCTTCCATATTATTTTTATAAGTTGTCTTATTGGCAAATCATTTATTGTATATATCCTTCCATATTATTTTTATAAGTTGTCTCATTGGCAAATCATTTATTGTATATATCCTTCCATATTATTTTTATAAGTTGTCTCATTGGCAAATCATTTATTGTATATATCCTTCCATATTATTTTTATAAGTTGTCTCATTGGCAAATCATTTATTGTATATATCCTTCCATATTATTTTTATAAGTTGTCTCATTGGCAAATCATTTATTGTATATATCCTTCCATATTATTTTTATAAGTTGTCTCATTGGCAAATCATTTATTGTATATATCCTTCCATATTATTTTTATAAGTTGTCTCATTGGCAAATCATTTATTGTATATATCCTTCCATATTATTTTTATAAGTTGTCTCATTGGCAAATCATTTATTGTATATATCCTTCCATATTATTTTTATAAGTTGTCTCATTGGCAAATCATTTATTGTATATATCCTTCCATATTATTTTTATAAGTTGTCTCATTGGCAAATCATTTATTGTATATATCCTTCCATATTATTTTTATAAGTTGTCTTATTGGCAAATCATTTATTGTATATATCCTTCCATATTATTTTTATAAGTTGTCTCATTGGCAAATCATTTATTGTATATATCCAAACCACCTAAATCCATTATCCACGTTATCCTTAATATAGCCATTCAGAGCTATCATCCTTAATTTGTCCTCCCTAATTTTACCAAAAATCTCTATAAGCATTCTCATTCCTACTTCATCCATTCATTTCTTATTAATTATAAAAAATGGGGAACCTCCTATTTCAGGCAACAGAGTCTTGTTAGTTACAAAGAATAGCCGACCTCCTATTTCATGCATCAAGTCTGCTATACATAGGGTTTGAAGCAATTATTTTTTAAATCAATGTCCATTTCCTAAATTTTTAGAATTATCTTAATTCTTGTCAATATAGCATGACCGCATGACGGTATCTGTCCGTGTAACCATAAATTTATCATGTGCATTTTCTATAAGGGTGCATACCACCAAATTCTTGTGTATTTACATGTCTAACACTTATTCTTTACATTTATACCACCCGAATGTTTCATATCACATAAAAAATACCATTATTTTTCATGCACAAGTAAGATGACAAATTTGTCAAAATTGAAGTTTAGGCGTTAGATATGTAAATACATAGGAATTAAGTGGAATGTATGCAAATCTTCCTTACAACAACAACAAAGCCTTAATCCCACTATGTGGGGTCAGCTAAATGAATCAATTTCCTCCATTGTGTTCTATTTAGTGTCATATTTTCATTTAATTCTAGTAAATTAAGATCATTTTTAATACAATAAGCCCAAGTCTTCCTAGGTCTACCTCAGCCTTTCTTAACACAAGTCGAATCTAAAACATCTACTCTCCTAATCGGATCATCAGATGGTCGATGTTTAATGTGCCCAAACCATCTAAGACGACTTTCTCTAATTTTGTCCGTCACAGGAGCTACCTTAAAAAAAAAAAATAGTGCCCAACCTTCACTTGCTTGTCAATTTCTAGCAATCAAAATTGTGAAAATTCAAAGCTATCCAAGCAATAAAAGAGCTTATTATCACCCACATTCTAATTAGCTTAGGAATTTTACCTTGAGAAGAAGATGGCTGCAGCAATCTGTCAGGAATTGTGGTAGTTTCACCCAACTCTCTATGTGAATCTGGAGACTACAAGAAAAAGATCACTGCTTAAAAAATCATGGTTAAACTGCAAAGATATGAATTGCATGAATTATTATGTAGTTTTAGATAAAATCAATTGAAACTCAAGTTAGAGAGAGCAGTCTCATGAATGAAAGGAATCAATAGATAGCTTTACATGAAATTAACTACAATATATTACTATAACACAAACGAATCGTAACTCCCATATTTTTTTTCTCCTACATTTAATGGATTTAATGGTGCTGTACAAAAACTCGAGGCTTTTAGTATAACAAATGAACATTTCTGTTTTATAAACATGTAATACGAAAAGATCCCACTTTGGGGTTCTGAACCTACAACGCAACTATCCCTATTGAACTTGAAACTTGTTAAAAATTCTTAAATCCAAAGCATCTGACAATCTTTTATCACATACAACCCATGAGAGATAAATCTAATTAAAAATATTTTATCACCAAATTCGTGAAAATACAACCAAAGGAGTTATTACATTATAATATACTCTGTCATCGAAGAACAATATTTGCTCAAGGGAATCTTCCATATTATATTCTTTATATCGTTGTTACCTACACTTCCTCCTTTCTCTTTTTCTACTTAGCATGTCACCTTACTCTTTAAAATATCTCATTTTCCCTTCTTATATAACATGTCACTGTCTTTTCCTATACCCTCCCCATTTGTGCAGCTGGTTTTCTACAACCTCTCTATCCACCAAGATTCTGAAAATTGGAGATTCAACCGGAAATGAACGGTTGAGCGAATGATGTAATACATATTTAAACCAAGCATATTTAAAGCAAGATTTGTTATGAAAAATGACGACAATAAAGCGAACAATTGGAACAAGAAAAATTGCACGTAAATAAAAAAAACACCAAAGCGACATATAAATTTACGTGGTTTGGACACAGATTTACGTGATTTAGCAAATTTGCCTACGTCCACGGAGCTGTAGAGGATTTTATTTTTTCAAGGAATTACACCGTAGAACATCTCAACGTTTACAAGAAAAATCTCTATTTTCTTCTCTCATTTCCTCTCTCTTTTCTTCCTCGCTTTCTCTATTAGAGGATCTAGCTCTTATGACAAGCCATAAGTGGCTATTTATAAAAACCAGGAGAGCGGTAGATGGAAGGTAGGTGAGCGATAGGTGTGGGATGAGGTAGGTGAGCGGTAGGTGAGATTCTTAATTAAGAAGCTAATTAAATTGCGGTAGACCGGGTCTCCACATTACCCAACAATTATCTCACTTAGAGACTGAGACATTGACTGCATTATCTACTGATTGTATCATCTACTAGTTGTACTGATATGTTCCTCAAGTATGATATCCTCCACCTTTGCAACTCAAAGCTCTGTTTTTCATACCAGAAGACCAACTAAAGTCAAGCAAAACTTCAGTTTCTCAAGAGTAACCCCCTTAATCAACATATCAGCAAGGTTCTTGCTTCCACAATTTTCTTAAGTAGCAGTTGTTCGTCGACTAACAAAGATCGAATGAAGTGATACCTGATTTGAATGTGTTTGGTCTTGGATTGAAAAGCTGGATTTCTAGAAAAAAACATGACGCTCTGACTATCACTGTATAGAGTGTCATTCTGAACCGCCTTACCCAATTCCTTCAAGAAACTCTACAGTCATATCATCTCCTTAGCAGCCTCTGACACTGCAATGTACTCAGCTTCTGTAGTGGACAACAAAACTGTCTTCTATAGATTTGAGCCCCATGACACTGCAGTATCACTAAGAGCATAAACATAACATATAGTACTCTTTCTATTGCCAATGTCTCCAACTAAATCTGCATTAACATAGTTTTATATCTTCAGGCTCTTTCCTAAGAAACACAAACAGGTTTATGAAGAGCCTCTTAGGTATCTCAAGATCCACTTCATAGCTTCCCAATGTTTCTTCCCTGGATTACTGATGTATTTGATCACAACTCCCACTGCATGGGCAATGTTCGGTCTGATGCAGACCATAACATACGTAAGTGAGCCAATAGCTGAAGCGTAAGGAACCTTACTCATGTAGTTTTGTTCCTCATCTATCTTGGGAGACTGATTTTTGCTGAGTCTGAAGTGACTGCCTAAAAGTGTGCCAACTGACTTGGCCTTGTCAATATTGAATTTGCTAAGCACCTTTTCACATATTCAGTCTACGAAAGCCTCAACTTGCCTTTGACTCTGTCTCTAACTATCCTCATGCCAAAGATTTGCTTTGCCACTCCTAAATCCTTCATTGCAAAGTGCTCTAACATCTGTTTATTCAAATTATTGATCTCATCAATGTTGGCCCTTGCAATAAGCATATCATCCACATACAGCAACAAGATGATATAGAAATTGTCAAAGTACCAGACATGACAACAGTGATCTATCTGACATCTGTTGCATCTTGTATTCTGCATGAAATTATCAAACTTCTTATACCACTGTCTGAGAGCTTGTTTCAGACCATACAAGCTCTTGTTCGGTCTGCAAACTGAATCTTCTTTTCCTTGTACCACGAACCCCTCAAGTTGGCGCATGTAAATGTCTTCTTCAAGGTCTCCATGAAGAAAGATTTCTTCACATCTAATTGCTCCATAAATAAATTTTCGGTGGCACCTATAGCCAGCACCATCTTAATGGTTGTGAGCTTCACCACAGGAGAAAATATCTCAGAATAATCGATGTTCTGCTTCTGTTGAAAGCCTTTTACAACAAGTTTGGTCTTGTACCTTTTGCCCGGTACACTCACTTGTTGTGCAATGTCTTCTTCCCTGATGGAAGTTCTGTCAACTCCCATGTCTGATTTCTCATCAGGGAATACATCTCCTCCTTCATGGCCAACTCCCACTTGCTAGAATGTTCATCTACTAAGGTTTTTTTATAGCTCTGGAGTTCTTCATTATCTGTCAGCAAGATGTAATTCAAAGTTGGTGAGTAACGTTGTGACGAATGTGTGCTCCTGACTGATCTGCGAATGACAGCTAGAGTAGCGAATGACTCTGAACCTGACTGCGGAATAATAGGAATGGGTGTCCCGGACCCATTCTCCTCGTCATTCACATCTCAGCCCTGTACTGTAACCTTTGGTAGATCGTCAAATCTTACGATCTCTGATTCCTGAGGAGCTGCTTCAGAATTTTTACTAGTTTTGTCCTTGTACATCATCTTTTCAGCGAAGATTACATTTCGGCTTCTGATAATCTTTCGATCTTGATCATCCCAGAAACGATAGTCAAATGCTTCATCTTCATAGCCAATGAAATAACATTTCTTTTACTTAACCTCAAACTTGCTACGTGTATCAGGATTGATTAGAACATAAGAAAGAAACAAATATTTTGTCTCCATAGCCAACGAATAAACATTTCTTTGACTTAGCCTCAAACTTGCTACGTGCATCAGGATTGATTAGAACATAAGAAAGAAACCAAAAGTCTTGAGATGAGAAAATTTGACCTTTTTGACGCTCCAGACCTCAGGTAATTTACAGTCTAATGAAACGGATAGTCCTCTGTTGATCAAGTAAACTGCAGTGCTGACCGCATCTGCCCAGAAGGTTGGTGGTAGTCCGGCGTGCAATCTCATGCTTCTGGCACGTTCATTGATGGTCGTATTCATCCGCTATGCAACTCCATTTTGCTATGGTGTCCCCGGAATGGTCTTCTCCATTCTAATACCCTGAGTTGCACAGTACTCCTTGAACCCATCATCAATGTATTCACCACCATTACCAGACCTCCAACATTTCAGTTTTAGATCTGTCTCTCAAGCATGACCTTCCAAGTTTTGAACACAGTAAATACATCAAATTTATGCTTTAGAAAGTAAACCCGTACATTTCTGCTATTGTCATCTATGAAAGTGACGTAATAGCGAAAGCCTCCAAGAGATGTCACTGGTGAAAGTCCTCATACATCAATGTGTACAAGTTCTAGCTTTCTTGCCTTTGGCACTCTGCTACTTTTCAAGAAACTAACGTTCTTTTGTTTCCCCATAATGCAACTTTCACACATGTCGAGGTCAACTGACTTCAGTTCTGGTAGCTTGCCTCTAGACTGAAACACTTTCATACCTTTCTGACTCATATGTACAAACCTACAATGTCACTTGTCTGTTGTGTTATCTGCAACTGTGGTATCAACATTATTAATTAGACCAATAGTCATATATAACGTATCAGTCTTCTTAACCCGAGCTAGTATCAGTGTTTATTTGGTAACCTTCCAAGTGTTATCAGAGAATAGTATTGAATGACCACACTCATCGAGCTGTCCAACAGATATGAGATTCTTTTTCAGTTCATGAATGTGTCTAACCTTTCATAGAATTTTTTACAGGATCCATTTGTTTTTGTTAGGGAGTGCAATTTCAACATCTTTCATCCCCACCACGTTCAAAGCTGCTCCATCAGCCAAGAAAGTCACCTGCAACATGTCTGCAACATGTTTTGCATCAACTCCCGGTGGGAAGATGTGTGAAAAGAAGCCCCTAAGTCCAGTATCCAGTCGTCAGCGGAGCTATGAACTGCAAGCAATAATGCATCCTGCATTTCTTCAGTTACAGCATTAGCACTGACATTCTCCGTCTTCTTAGGATTTTTGCAGTTCTTCTTTATGTGGTCAGTTTTGCCACAATTCCAACAGGTTGCTTGCTAACCAGGCTTTGACTTGCTCTTGTCTCTATGTCTTGATTTTGATCTTCCTCTGTTTGAGTTTTTGTCCTGTGATTTACCTCTGGAATCAACATTCAATACTGAACTCGAACCTAAAGTCTCGCTAGAATCATTCCTATGCACCTCTTCAGTCAAAATCAAGTCACAAATATCATCACATTTTCGCTTAATTTTACCTGCAGAGTTGCTAACTGTCATCATCATGGCTTCTCAGCTATTTAGCAATGAAGCCAACAATATCAACGCTCGTATTTCATCGTCAAAATCAATTTCAATAGACGATAATTGATTTGTGATGGTGTTGAAATCATTCAAATGTTGAACGACAAACACGTCTTTCGCCATCTTTAAGTTAAATAATTTTTTCATCAGATACATCATTTGTGATGGTGTTGAAATCATTCAAATGTTGAACGACAAACACGTTTCCGTCATCTTTAAGTAAAATAATTTTTTCATCAAATGCATCTTGTTATTCGTCTATGGCTTTTCATACATACCTGATAAAGCCGTCATGAGATCCGCAGTCGTCCTCTCCTTGATGACGTTGTGGGCAACGGATCTCGACAGGGTTAGTCGAATAACCCCCAAAACCTGTCGATCCAACAGATTTCATTCAGCCTCTTCCATCTTCTTCAGCAGCTTTCCCAGTAATAAAAGATGGAGTTTCTTTCAATAGAGGTAGTCCTCTATCTGCATTCTCTAGTAACCAAAATCCACGTCGTCGAACTTCTCGAACCTTGAAACCTTCACTTCGTCTCCGGACATCGTTCTTCCTCAGATCTGAACCGGGGCTCTGATACCAGTTGTTATGAAAAACAACGACAATAAAGCGAAAAATTGGAATGAGAAAAGTTGCACGTAAAGAAAAAAACACCAGAGCGACACATAAATTTACGTTGTTCGGCAAATTTTTCTACGTCTACGGAGCTATAGAGGATTTTATTTCTTCGAGAAATTACACCGTCGAACGCCTCGACGTTTACAAGAAAAAATCTCTATTTTTTTCTCTCTTCCTCTCTTTTTCTTCTTCGCTTTCTCTCTTAGAGGACTTAGCTCTTATGACAAGCCATAAGCGGCGATTTATAGAAACCAGGAGAGCGGTAGATGGGAGGTAGGTGAGCGGTAGGTAGGATGTTGTAGGTGAGCGGTAGGTGGGAAGGTCGGTGAGCGGTAGGTGAGATTCTTAATTAGGAAGCTAATTAAATTGCGGTAGACCGGGTCTTCACATTACCCAACAAGATTTACATATATTCCACTCAATTTTTATGTATTTACATATCTAACACCTAAACTTCAATTTTGACATTTCTATACAACAAGATTTACATATATTCCACTCAATTCTTATGTATTTACATATTTAACACCTAAACTTCAATTTTGGCATTTTTATACAACAAGATTTACATATATTCCACTCAATTCTTATGTATTTACATATCTAACACCCAAACTTCAATTTTGACATTTTTATACGACCTTTCACTTTTTAAAAGTAAAAATTTATTATATTTTTTATGTATTTCGAAAAATTTAGGCGGTATACATGTAAAAGCAAAGTTATAGTAAAGTTCAGCTGGCACAATTGGAAAACAACTTAATCCAAGGCAACTTGTAATAAAATAAATCAGAGTAAAAGTAAACCAGGGAATAAAACTCAGTGCAAGCAATAGTTACAGAAGGAATTTGAGCTTGGATCACATCACTATGGTAATCTCAAACACGACTTTTAAAGCTATTTTAAATCAATTTGAACAGCCACAGTAGATTTGAAGTAAATTTGAAGCCAAGTTTGTGAATTATGGCTAAGCTATGTTAAGTGTTTTTCAATAACAAATTAAGAAGACGATATCTCGATTCTCAAACATATATGAATATATACATGTAACTATTTCAGGAATTAAATGTATACTTTTCCCAAACAGATAAAGAACATATGAAATAATGTTGGGAATATTTGTTCAATGATAAATAACTAAATAATTTAGGGGAATCTACATACCTCTCACCTAAACTTTCATGTTTACACACATACCACTCCAATCTTTAATACCAAGATCAAAAATAGCATTATTATCAATTTTTAAAAGTGAGATACGCCTTTTCATGCATAGATTTAAAGCACCAAAATACTATGTATGGCGCCTTTTCATGCATAGATTTAAAGCACCAAAATACCATGTATGGAATATGAAATTTAGGTGTGATAAATGTAAATACATAAGAATTGTGTCCTATGTATGTAAATTTCTCAAAAAGCAAGATGTCATCGTTGGTAAGACCTGATCTTAAAAAATCACATAAAATCATGTTGCCTCATATAAAGTTACTTTCTAGCAACTAATAGGAACAGTTAAACGTGTTCTTATTTTTGTAAAGCTCAATACCTCGTTAGTCTTTCTCACAGTTTTTCCTCTCCTTCGACTTTTAATCTCCAAAATCCATCCTGAGGGTTCAAGAGATTCCTTCATTTCTTTTGCAGGCTGAAAGCAAAAAGATGATCAACTTCTGTGAGTCACAAATTACTGTGTGAAATCTGTCAATATTAACTGTAACAACACCAATCTTACTTGTTTTTTGCTTTCATTAGAACATGATGCCCTTCCAGATGTGCCGCTGTCATGCTTTGCTAGACTAAGATGGCGCAAAACCTCATCTTTCGACTGGAATGTGGAACCGGAAACTGGGGATCTATAATACTAAATGCACGCGAGAACCAAAGTAATCTTATGTTAGTACATCGAAAGAAGAGCATCCATCTTCTTATATATTTACATATCAACACCTAAATTTTACTTTTTGCATTTGTTCCACCCAAATCTTACATACCACATCAAAAGTACCACTATAATGTCCAGGCATATAATGAGCTTCTAAACGATTCTTGTGATTAGTGTTAATAAAGATTATTAATTAACGAGTGAGCTTGTATCCTATAAATACCCCCATATGGGGAGAATGCAACAAGGGAATGCATAAATGTATTCAAACTATTGCTATCTTCAGCGGCCAACTCAACCTCCAACTATGATCGCCGGATCCGTGAGCCCTGGCAATACTTATTGAATTTAAAGAATCCACAATTGCAAGATCACACATCACCTGTCACAAAATCTCCACTTACATAACATTTTGCAATATCGACTGAACAATACAACAATTTCCAAGTTTTCCCCGAAAACAATTCTCATTCCTCCTTGGATTGTGCTTGCTGGGAAAGTTCTTAATTGCAATTTTTTGTTACATTGAAATCAGACCCAAAACATTTTTACCACAGGTAAATGGATGCACAGCTCATTAAGAAAGATAGATGACTTTATCAGGCAATTAGATAATCTAAAGCAATAAAAATCATCGATTGCAAAGATGTTGAAAGATATTTCATAGTATTTTAAAGATCTGGAGAACAAATTGGAGGAATAAATCCAAACCAAATCAACTGTGGAGCATAATATGTGTAATTTACGCACATTTGTCGATTCAAGAATCATTAAATTAGACATTCCTCGCTTAAATGGAGATAATCCACAAGAATGGCTTTGCAAGGCTGATAAGTTCTTTTTGTACCACAATATATTCAATGCCCAGTGAATGCCTTAGGCCCATTTCGGATTAATTTTATTATTTGTTTGCAATCTCCGGTTTTTCTATTATTTTGTTTATGTTTTGATTTGAATTAAAACATGTTTGTTTGTTGTAGTTATTTTTAAAAATACTCAAAAAATCATTTAGGTGTTTTGAGTGTTTTTAATAACAAGATAATTTGTTTTTAAAAACAAAAAATATATAAAATTTATATTAACCAAACATGTTTTCAAAAACAAAAGTAAAAAACAAAAACAAAAATTAAAAAAAAAACAAAAGTGATGCCAAGCAAACCCTTAGTGTCTATGGATGATCTAGAATTGTATTACGACCGCTAGATGTGTTTGAACGAACAATTGAGTTCTAAGAATTCTTTCAAGAATTACATTCTACAATGCATTGTTCATCTCTTAATACAATTCACAAGTTCATGTCCTAAGGAGAATATAGACAACTGGGATGAAAACACAATCTGTGATGAACTCAAGGATTTCATCAAATACCTATAAATCCACGTTTTCTTTGGTTACATCATTGTCATTCTAAAACATAAATTGCAACCTCTTTAGTGGTTGTGGCTAAATGATGGCCACCACCTTCAATAGGATTGACTTAGTAGCTCGAAGTTGATGATAAGGTCATTGTGAGAGGAAGGAAAATTGTAAAAAGTTAAAAGCTGATTAGTAATGTGTAAACAAATAATTAGAATCTAAACTAGTCTAGTAATTAGCATTCATAAGAATAGCTAATCAAAGAGTGAGTTTGTATCCCATAAATAGCTCCATTTTGGGAAAATGAGTCCACAAGATGAATGAATGAATTCCTTTTCTTGTATCTAATTCCTATTTCCTTTTTTTTGGGATCTTAAGCAAGCTCAAATCGCTCAATTAAAAGATGACATCCTAACATAAAACCACAAAAATCAGATTCAACAAACCATAGACACAAGAATGGCATTTATCCCTTCTAATTAGGTTAAAAAGAAGAACATGTTCGGAAATAACTGTGCCTAAGAAAAAGAACCTGAGCTTCCTGAGCACTAAACATACCCCCTTAAGTTCCCATATCTCAAATTTCTGAGCTGCGCGATTCCTCTAAATCTTCAAAAAACATCCAATTCCACAAAAATCTCACCAATTTACGCAAAAACTAACAGAGATTCATAAGGCAAGGACCGTTTAACATGACGAAAACCTTACTTTCAGCCAAAAAACCACAAGAATCCAATCGACACTTCCCAGAAAGCGTAACGGAGGAAGCATGATAACAAGAATTTGAACTTCGTGAGAAGAGAACAGATAGATTACCCTATACTTGCCGTGCCTCGTATTTCTGACCTCAACCGTCCATCCATCCGGTAGCCACTCCGGCGGCCTCTCCTCCGGCATTCCGCAAAACCTTTTTCGCATTCGACGAGTCTCCATAGCTCCGGAGATCTCCTCAGATAGCCGTCTTATTCAACGGAAGCAACCGGGAGAAGGCGAGTTGTCCCAAAACCACGTGTTGTCGGATCTGAACATTTAGATTCGTGCTTTTGATCCTATGAGAATAAGATGTAGCCGTCGATTTTCTTATCTTTTGGAAGATTTACAAGCACGCCCAACTCCATTTCTATGAGTATATATATAGGTAACACACAAAGTAATATTTATATATGCCATCTTACTTTTGTATAGAAAAAATATATTTTATTTTTTAAGATTAAAGTAGTAATATTTTTTGTTGCATGGGAAATATTTGGGCCGTATAAATGTTAAAAATAAAATTAAAGTACGTAAAATTATTATTATTATTATTACTATTATTATTATTATTATTATGAGAATGAGAATTATATATATTGTTTGTTAGAGAATTGCGGCAATAGAGTAATGAATTATCATCTTACTGTTGCAATATAATCTAGCACATACTCAAGTAATAAAAGTGAGATATAGAAACACCGAAAATTTTTATGGGAAGAATTCGAAAAAAAAAAATCACAAGATCTAGTATAGTTAAAATGATAGTCAATGATTAAATGTACTGTCATTTGTCCCACCAGTGAAGAAGGGTTACATAGTTTCTTGAGTTATAACGATATTGCATAGAAAATCTCATTGCCTCAGAGGATGGAGTGATCGAAGCAAAGAGTAATCGTTGAAGCTCAAGTACATTAACTTTAAGGTTGGCACGACATTTGAGTTGATTATCTACTCCGTAGGATGCATCGTGACGACAAAACTCTTTGCTACATACGGTGCTTTACCATAATGAGTAGATAGCGGCTGACAACAGTCGACAGGGATTGACGAGTTGTGATTGATAGTGGTTGGTGATTGTAGGAGCGGGAAGTATTTGTCAAATTTGCGGTGCAAAAACGATGCTAAACTTCAGCTCATCCTTCAAACTTCAGTTTTCTTCAGGCTCAAGGTCTAGGCCCTCTCTCAAAGGGGGTAGAGCTCTATTTGTAAAATCTTGGAGAGACTTCTCTGCAAATAATGAAGGAATTTAGACCACTCTAACAGATGGTTAGAAGAGATTGTCTCAGTCGAACAATATTCGGTTAGCATTTGAGTGCATTAATGTTGTCAAAATTGAGTGATCTTGGACTCGTTGGATTTGTTTGACCTAGATGCTCGATTTCACTTTATGTTTGTCAGATTTGGAATTTGTTTGACTTTTTAATCATGCATTGAAAACTTTCAAATGTGATTTAACAGCTTGATCTGAGCTTAATTTGACTTAAATTGGACCAATTTTAGTATTATTTGGTCTGTCTTGTTGAGCCGACCGATTTGGTTAAGAGTTTGCTCAAATAAGAGTTTTTGATGATTTTCAATCAAAGTTTGAGTATTTCTTACTTTAAAAAGTTATCTCAAGGTTCGTGCAATGCCTCGTGATTCATTCCAGATGATGGAAATTTTTTGATAGCGTATCAATATATGATGCAATCTTGATTGATGTTTATAATGATTTAGCCATTCATTAAATTTATAAACAATTATAATAATAAACGGATAAAATATAGAAAACTCTCTTACATTTTATTTTAATTTATATATTTTTATAAAAAAATTTATTGCTGCACATACAAAATATCATCAAAAAGGCATTCATTTTAGTAAAAAAATAAATCAATTAAAAAATCAAAATTATTCGTGAATAGAATTCATCTATTTGCATGGCCCATATTCAGCTTATACTTGACTCAAATTATCTATAAAGATTCCATGTCTTGCTCTGACATTAATTTAACATTCTTTATGTGAAATTTTCATAATTTCTAAATGTAATATATATATATA